CCCACTCCCCTCACCGCCTGTTTATTGTGTTGTCAATTTGCTGCGCTCGTTGGCTTTCTGGCTGCGATGGCGTAATTAGATTTCGGCCTGGTCTAGTCGAGGCGGCTTGGCTTGACTATGGCTTTGGCTATGGCTTTGCTTTTGGCGTTGGGTCTGGGCCTCGGCCAGGATGGATGGGGCTGCAGGATGGGCTGATGGGAAGCAAACCGCGAAACGGGAAGTGTCGGACAATTAAGGCAGCAGCAGGAGTAACAGGAGTTGCTCCGGCTTCAGATCCTGATCTGGCGAATGAAGGAAGCTGCAAGCGAGTCAATTAAAACGTTCAGTGCGATCGTATCGCCATCGATGGCAATTTCCTCAAAACCAAATGACCAACTGTCCAAGTTTTACACTGCGCGCCAGTCGAACTATTTGAGTGGCAATTAAGTGGCGGGCTTGGTCATTGTCAAAACTGGAACATCCAATGGCATCCATCGCACACATTTGGCCAACAATTGTTGCCCCTGATCCGGGCTCGGAGTCACTTTGTTACTTGGTTAAACTTCCGCACCATGGATCTGCAGCCGGGAGCCGGCGACGATGACTGCATCCGCAATGCAACTTTCTGTGTGAGATTTCCGCCTATTGCAGCTGCAATTGCCGACGCATCTAGTGGCCCAAAGAGGGGTTTCTCAGTGGGGGAGCCGTGGAGCTCCTCCTCCGTCCACTTCTCTGGCGCATCTTCAGGTGTCTGAATTTATTACGAGATGAGTCTCCACCGCGATTACAGCAATTATGTGGCTTTCGGAAGGAGTTTGGCACATTGCCCAAGGAATAAGACAGAGTTGGAGTTACAAAACATAAAAAACAGGGGTATTTAACTTGTGTAAAAACTTAGCAAGATTAAATATAAAGATTAAAAACTATAAAAAATTATAAAGACCATTTGGGATGGGTTTTTAAATTAATCAAATAAGAAAAGCTGAACACCTGAAAAGATTAAATCTTTTTTAACTGTTGCCTTGTTTTCTTTTTTTGATCTTACTCTAAAAACCCCCTTTAGACTACACCCCTGACTCGCTTACATGGACTTCCTCTAATAACTCAATTTCAACACCATAGGCCCGCCTCCTGCCGCAAAAACAAATGTGAAAGTGCCAAGACCCGCCCTCCGCCCACCGCCCACCAACTCCGCTACCAACCCCACAATCATGGCCAAAAATCCCCGAATCGGAGCTCAGCATCAGGCCCAAGTTTGATGCACTCGACTAGATAGCCCGACCTCTCGGAGCTCTGCAGTCTCACCATGGGCTGCAATAAAATAAAATACAAATAATTTGTCAGCTACCTCATCAGCGGCGGCGCGTGCGTGACTTGGAAGAGTTGGAGATTCCGAGACTCGGAGACTCTGAGCCTCTGCAACTCGGAGATTTGGAGATTCCAAGAGACTTCCCGAGAGCGTGCTGGAGTTGCAATCGCGGTTTCTGCGGCCGCGCGCCTGTTGCATAATAACTCCATTTGAACTTTCACATGGCCCAATCATCATATACCGCCACAGCCCCTCTTTCTCCCTCTCGGGGGATAAGTTCTTCCTATAAATCACATAATCATGGCTTATAGGAAATGCGTTGAAATGCATTTCACTAGTTGCCATTAATAAATTAATTATACAACCATGACGTCGGCATTGAGCCCGGCTTTATCCCCATCCGCACGCACACTCTGGTCGTAAAGAAAAGCCAAAAAATGCAGAGAGAGATATATAAGAAAAACTTGAACATTTTTGTCATCAGCAGCAGCAGCACAACAGCAAATATTGTGCACAAGTTGATGGTCAAAAGTTGGCTGACGCCTTGCCAAAGCCATGGCCAAAAAAGCAGCTCGAAAAGCAGCCAGCAAAAAGTCAAACAGCAAGTGAGCGGCTAAGAAATTTTAAATTTAAATAAGCGAATATCAGATGCTCTAAAAAACATATTCATTTAATGTACTAGGAAGTTGTTTTCAATATACTTTCAGCCTGAAGTAACCAACAATCTTAGTGAATTATATACCCTTCATTATTTTGTTTCCTGATTTCTCATTTTTTATCATGCATTTTAAATATCTGCTATCGATATTAATTTATTCAATTAATACCTTTTTATCAACATACAGCTGTGTTCACGGAAATAGCAGTGCCCAACGACCTGCACGTTTAAGATCGGAAAATCCTGTTACAAACACTATTTTCATAAATTTTTTTTTCATAAAAGCTTAGTATATTTAATTATTAACAATACCACAATCATTTAATTTAGGTAACATAAACCTTTTAGAAGATATAGCTAATAACAACAAAAAAGGTCTATATTATGCCGATCATTGAAATAGCAGTGAAAAACTAAAATTCTTCATAAATTTAAAAATATCGTATAAGAAACCTATTTCTTCTTAAATTCCAATTGACTATGATCTAATATTTTGTTAAATAGCCTTTAGAAGCTATCATAGCCTCATACCTGGGTGGCATGGAGTCCACCAAGTCTTAGCAATGCTTGAGGGGAATATGGCCTCATTCCTCCTGCACAAATTGCCAAAGCTGCATCTTAGAAGTCGGAAACTTCTTTAATAAGTAGCCCTTGATGTCCCCCATAAGTTTTCGATCGGATTTATATCCGGGGACTGTGCAGGCCATGGCATTGCATCCACTTTTTCATTAAGAACCCACTCCTTGGCTACCTTGATGGTATGATTAGGGTCACTGTACTGCTGAAATGTCCAAATTAATGGCATATTTTCCTCAGGATACGGCTGCAAGACAGTTTTTAATATTTAGACATAAACATAATGGTCTTTGATCCCACCGATCATATTTACGGGACCTAAAACGTTGTATGAAAAGTATACCCATACCATGATTTTTAGGCCACCGTGTTTTACTGTCTTCAGCGTATGGTTTGGGGGGTACTATCTATTTGGGGGTCGACGGACATATTGTCTTGTCCTATTCCACCAAATAAAACCAGTTTGGAGTCATTTGTCCAAAGGATATTACGCCATTTGAAAAGTGGCAGTTCAAGGGGCTATTGGCGAACTCCAATCTGGCCTTGATATGCCTATAACCAAGCAGTGACATTTTCCATGGACTTCGCGAATCTAAAATTTATTCAATAAGTCCCCGGCGAATGGTCCCATGACTGATTCCCATGCCAATTCCCGCTCATATATCCCTAGAGGATGCAAAAGGACGAGCTTTGCTGAAGCGAAGTACGCGTCGAGCCTGTACAATTGGGGTTTTGCGAATCGTACCCCGTTTTTTTTGGGTTCGGTTCATATTTTATGACTTATAAACTATTTTAAAAGAACAATTTGAAAGATTTGGAGACTCTTTACATGTTTTCCCCTTCTTTCTAGGCTAAATTATCTGATATCTTTCTCTCATGGAGCAGTGAGGTCCTGCGCCCACTAAAATAATTTTTTTGCGTTGTAAAGGTGTATTATAGTATAAACTATAATAACGACCTTAATTAAAGTAATTTTTTACAAAATTAAAAGAAATTTCGGCACTTTTTGCGAAAGAAAATTAAAAACTGCTATTTCAGTGATCGGCCAAAACGAGCTGCATATGTGAAAAAATATCAATAAAACATAAAAATAGAGCAAATCTAACGGAATTTTTTCTCGATTCTTATCTTTATGTTCCATTTTACAAAAACAATGTGCAATAGATCAGCTTGCAAAAAGGAATATGTACAAAAAAACGTTTTGAAGTTGTTCCTCTGTCGCACTGCTATTTCCGTGAACACAGCTGTATATCTTTGAGACTTTACTTTCCTGTTCGGGTACAGGTACCTCCATTATGGTATAGTTGACTAGCGACCCCGATCATTTCCATATTTCCCATTGCATATTCGAATGCAAATCCATTTCCCTAGACAAATCCCCAATTCGACTTCCTTCTGAGAGCGTGGCAAATTTAATCACTGGCTTATTATGCCCTGCATGTGCAAAAATCCACGAAAAACGAAAACGAAATATGAGACGAGCCAGCAGCAGCCCCCACCATGGAGGCCAGACCAGACCAGACCAGGCCAGGCCAAGTCGGCTAAACTGACTCCGGTTGGCAAAAGGAAAATGGGAAAAGCGAAATGGCAGCAACAACAACGAGAATAACAAAAACAAACTGGCTGTCGCCGTGAAAACTGCGAGGCAGCGAACACACACAAAACTCAAGTGGCGCGAAAATTCGAGGCACAGTTGCAGCAGCAGCGCGCAAGCGTGCGGTTTTCCCTCCACAGTTTTTCCAACAGCCAAATGTAAACAAGGCAAAACGAAACGAAACGAAACGAAAACCCAACTCAAATTAAAAGTCGCATTAAATAAATGAGAAACGAACGGGAGAGAGAGGACTGCGACGAGCAAGTTTAAACAAAGCTAAAAGACAAAGTTACAAGTTTTTTCCGCAAAGGATATGAGAATATTATTTTCTGCAAAAACTTCCATTACATTTTGTAAAAGTGCTAGCTAACAAGAATATTAAATAACAGTTAAAAATTAAATTAAATGAAAATGTACGTACGGGAGTACAAAACTTGAGCCATGAACTATAAAAGAATTGTCTTTTAAATATTCCAAGAAAGTGAAACTTTGTTTTATTGAAATAAATTCGGGAATAAATACTGTCAGAATATATCAGTTAAAGTGTTGAACACGACTCTTTGCTGAGAAAAAGGATTAAATCACCTTTACATAGATATTTTATGTATTGGCATTTCAGAAAGGATTTCAAAAAAGAAATACTTGACAGTTCTGTCAAAAGTTATGAGTTTATATTTGTTATAAACAAAAGATACCATAGTCCTAGATAGCAACAACAAAGCCCTCAATTTATTTGCAACGCCAACTATTAACCAACACACTTAACAAATTCTTCTTAATAACACTCTTTCAGGCCAAACAAACAATAAAGTTCAAACACACAAAGACTCGCTTTAAATTGCATTAAAAATACCAAACTTGAGCAAAGTACCGTGGGAGAAAAACCGAAAAATTAAACAACAATTACAAATTGAGCTGCCACTTTGGTGGAAACGCGAAGAGTGCAACGTGCCACGTGCAACTTGACGCCTCATTTGGCCGAACTTCCGCCGACGTCCGACATTATCCAAGGAAAATGGCTATCTGCGGCGCTGGCCCCACCTTAATGGTAAGTGGAAAAGGGTTCATCATTCTGAAATTTTAATATAAATAACAGACAACAAGGCGGCAAGGCCAACTGAGGCGTGAAAACAACAAGCGGCCGGGAAAAGTCTTCGGGTGAAAATGGCCTGGGAAACTGTCTGGCAGCGGTGCAGCGGCAGGAAATGGGCGATCCAGTCATTCCATATGGCCTGCCACAGTTTTTCGTCTGTGTGTCTTTATTTTCATTTCATTTATTTTTGGCACGCACATTTTGCGAATAATTTATTTTCGTGTTCCAGGCGCAGGCACTTGAACTTCAATTAGCCAGGAAACAGGGGCCAGGGCCAGGCTTTTTGCGGCACTCATTTAATTACCGGCCATAAAAATCATAAACCGAATGCGAATATTTCCAATGCGTTCTCTTTGTTTGCATTTACCGTGCTCTTCCTTTTATTTTTCGGAAAAATTCGTTACGCAACTGGCATTGATTGTTTCGCTTTGTGGAAAGCTCTCTTGATTTTATGACCTCGGCACGGGCCCGCTTTATGGTTATCTAACCGAATCGCAGTTGGAATCCATATCCAACTGCCGGACGAAAGGAAAATGCAGCAACATTTGCAATCGAAACTGGAAATTTGCAATTTAAGTGGATGGAAAAAGTTTGCTGCCATTTCTTGCATTTCTTTTGAGCCGAAGTTTCCTTGTGGCCCAGGAAGTGCTATCCCCTCCTTCTCCCTCATACATAGCTGCCGCCTTTACCACTGCCAAGTCAAGTCTTTTATGTGCATTGAACTTGACTTTGCCTTGGGTTTCGGCCCTAGAAAAAGACCAAAACTGGTTCTAACTGCCACCGCTGCAGCTGCAGCCACAATCAGTTGGTAACTTCCACGGCTCCCACTGCCAACAATTAGCCCAAGCTGTGTCTTTTTGCCTGCTCAGCTCCCATTTTTCCCCTGGAGTCTTGGCTGCGCCTTGGTCTTGGTCTGGCTCTGCTTCTGGGTCTGGGTCTTGGCCCACACCCCGGGCCAGAGCCACGTTTTTCCGCCTTGCTGCATGCAACAACAGAGGAAGCCGTAAGCGCATATTGCAGCCAACAATTATACAAACTTGTGGCCAAACAGCAATTACAGAAACCATTTAATGAAGCAACCTGCCCGACACGAAAAAAAGCGAATGAGAACGTTGCGTTTGGGTTGGGAGAAAGGAAATATATAGCACAGTATTGATTGGATAGTCAGGAAACTCTTCAACAGAAAGCTCCATCACAGAGGAATTTAAAGACTTGTTTAATGTATTTCCATATTTTTTGGTACCAAATATATTTATTAGAATATAATTGCAATAATAAAAGGCAAATATTTCTTCTCAGCCATTCCTGATTTAAGTGCTGTGTCCAAACTATTTGCTTCAAACAAACAACTAGAACTTGCTCTATATTTGATATTTATTTTTGACTTTTTGGTCACGGCATGAAGGAAACGTTGTTGCTCTTAAAAATTGTGGAAACAATAAGTGCGTCCTGTAAATAAATTTACAAGTAAAATAGTAATTTAATCAAACTCGAGCTCCAGCAAATATTAAAGTTTCAATTCCAAACAAATGTCAAAACAAACGCAAACTTTTCAAATGCAATGCAGATAGACGACGCTGGAGAAGAAGAACATGTCCTTGGAGCGTTCCGATTGCATCGCCTCTTAGCGGGTCGTAAAAGAATTGTTAACTAGTTTTCGCAGCACTTTTAAGGCCATAAAATCCGGCAGAGCAAACGGGAACAGAAACAAACGCAAATAGCAACAATTTTTATCGCTCCTTTCTATTGAATTTTAAAACGAATCCAACGCGTGTCCCAACTGAAATGAAAAGACACTCTTCCGGGCGGGAAAATAAACTGAACGGGAGGAAGTATCCCGAGAACCCAAAGCCAAAGTGTTAAATAGAAGGCACATAAAATTTTATGCAACCCAACTGTGTGAGTCTGAGGTTGAGTATAGAAAACTGGTAGGTGGGGAAAATGCAGTTCGCAGGTCGCTAGGCCGGCATGTTGGACGGTGCGAATGGAGGAAAGCCCAGCCAGCGGGGGAAATGGGCGGAAAAACGGCGCCAAAAAGGGGTTGGGCCGCGGGGGAGACAGCCGTTGACGTTGGTAAAGTTCATAAAAATTCACTCAGGCGCAGTTTTAACGGCCGTTAAATGTTTACGCGGTTGCATTTTTAACGACCGTTGACAGTTCATTTGGATTTAGCCTCGATGGGCTTAGTTAAATGGCCTGCAGGCGAGTAAGAGATAAGTCCCTGTGGTCCATGGGATCTCAAAATTAAGACATTTTGGCATTAACTCTATGATTGTTTGGGCCAAGAGTAAATACTACTGAAGCTCCCTTAAAGAAAAAGCTATATTCTGTCGTAATTTACTGGAATTTTGGTTTGTGGCTCAAGTTCTTACTGATTTTTTTAGAAATATTAATTGTTCATACTTTCTATAATTTTGTCCCTATGCTTTTTAATGTTGCACCTTTTAAGCTCTTTTCAAGCAGATATAGTTTTCAAAACCTTAGTTCCTGTTTCTGTTTTAATGTGCAATAAAACCACATCGAAATTCCTCCATGACTTTCTTATCGAAGTCCGTCGCGAAATGTAAGTTAATGATACAGCTGGTCGCGTTGCATCACAACTCGGACCGATCCCAGCACCGTAATTGGTCTTACGTAAAACGAGAGTGCAAGAAAAGCAATTGAAATCGAAAATCGATGAGTTTAATGGCCATAAAAGCCAAGTTCAACCTGTTGACGTGAAAGTGGATGCATGAATGAGCCGGGCCAGGCGATCCAACACCCAACTCAGCTCCGATCGGAGGAGAATACCTCCACGACGCTAGGCGCGTGCGCAACTCGTTTTATATTTATTTATTTTCGCCCCAAGAGATGGAAGCTTAAATCCAAGCCGAGAATCGAGCTGGCTTTAGCCAGGTTCGCGGCAGCTTCCGTCCATATGCGGCCTGGTGGAAAGTGAAAGTCAGCAGACGACCAAAAAGCAAGTGGTCAGCTGGACATATTCGGATTATTTATGGGTCTGGGCGGGCGCATATGTAAACCAAAGTTGGTTCAACCCTCGCAAGTGTCAAATAAATTATTATGTTTGCGTGATCAGTGTAGATTTGCTCATGGAGATCGGGTAAATGGTTATGTGTGTCCTACGATTTGAATAGAAAATATTTTGTTAATATTTACAAAAGCATTTGAGTTTTTTTTTTACTTTTAGAAGGATCATATACAAATATTTATTTATGTTAAACTGTTCCTTTGAAACAACATTTCTGCCCAAAGAAAGCTCAATATTCATTAACCAAACTCCTATAAATAATATATTCTCTCTTTTAGTCTCTGGTCCTGGCAGTGATTCTGACTGCAATCCAGGCCACGGATACCTGGCAGCGTTTACCCACCCTGGAAACCTTCTCCACATATGAAGTACGTTTCAACCACATCCTTTTAGCTTTGTTTATAATATATATTTTATTGTTAATAGGACATGCAACGCTATTTCGATCAGCGCAATTTTCGCAGCATGCGGCACATTGACAATCCCACGGACGACAGCTACCTGGCGGCCTTCAATCAGTATAACGAGCAGCTCGAGACTCGGTCACCCGTCCACAGCCAGCCCCGGGTGAAGCGGGAGCAGCGCCAACTGCCTACAGCACCGCGGATGCTGCGCTTTGAGCTGGCAGATGCCGTAGAACCGAGTCCGGAACTGAAGCAAATTCTGCGCCAGTATCATGCCCGGGCCCTGAAGGAGAGTCCAAGTCCCGCTCCTGAGAGCAGCACCACCCCGGCAGCAGTCGTTGACGCCACCCAGGCCACCACCAGGAGCGTTCGGTCACGGAAACCCCGTCGCCAGAGACGCTCAGCAAACGGTGCCCAACAGCCGGCGGAGTTCAAGGTGCAGATGATTCCCTTCGAGGAGACGGACGCTCGGGAACCGGATCCACTTACAGCGCAGCTGATAAAGAAGGCTCGAACCCTGGATCTGCAGAGTCAGGCCACCAGGTCGTCCAGACCCCAGGAGACGAGGAAGAAGACCTTTCAAGTGAGGATCCGCAAGACGAAGCGCTCCAAGCGCTCCGCTCCGCAGATGATCAAGTTCGAGTTGGCGGATGCTAAGCCCTTGCCCCAGCGATCCGGGAAGCAACTACTCCCCGAGACGCCCACGTTGCTGACCATGGAAACCCATTCGAAGAACAAGACCCAGTTGGACTCTACCACGCCCAAGGTGGAGGAGAACGATATCCTCACGGGTGAGGCCACGGCAGAGACCAAGCGGATGTACGTTTACAAGGAATCACCTCTCAGCTCCGGGCATGTGAAGACCAAGAAATCCCTGAGTGCTTTGCCCCACGAGGTCCAGAAGGTCATCGGCCATCTGATGAAGGATGGACACGGCGGCAAGGCGTACGTGAAGTATGTGCCAGCCCAGAAGTCCGACTACGAGCACTACAAGGCGAAGCCCGTGGCCTACGGGCTTAAGCCCCTGGGTAACTACGTCAAGTATATCCACAAGACAGCGGAACCCTCGGCGGCTCCGGCCCCGGCCCCAGCTCCCGTCCAGGTGCACATCCAGCCGGTGCCCGTGGTGGAGCAGCTGCGGTATGTGTACAAGCCCAACTACGTAGCTCCTTCTCCCACCATTGCCCAGCCCATTGTGGTCCAGGAAGTGGTCCCAGCTCCCACGGTGGCCGTGGAGGAGGTGCACCACACCTACACCGCCGAACTGGCTCCGCCGCCAACCCAATCCCTGGACGTTATTGTGCCGCAGTTCAGACCCTCCAAGCCGGATCCCCTGCTGGCCGAGTCGCCTGCCATCTATGGCACTCCCCAGGAGCAGCAGTATCAGTACGAAGTCCAGCCGGAGGCCTCGCCGCTGATCAAGATCGAGTACCATGCTCCGGCGGATAGCCTCAAGGAGCACTACAAACAGCTGCCCGAATTCCAGCAGCTGTCCACGCTGATCGGCAAGTCGCCGGATGACCAGATCCATGGACTGACCTACTTGCTCGCCAAGGAAATGCAGGCCAAGCTGCAGCGGCAGGGCAAGCATCTGGCGGATCGTCCGCAGGACAGCACAGCCCCTATCCTTTTCCACCCCGGACAAGGTGCGTCCCCGGCCCCCACTCTCAAGACTCTGGCAGAGCATGGACACCTGGGTATTCAGCCGGGAAGACTGATCGGAATGGCCAAGACCAAGCAGTATGTGCCCATCATCGAGCCCGGCAACAACGACGTCAAGGAGCTGCCCCCTGTATCCAGCACCAAGCTGCCCACGCCCAGTTCCTACATTGATTACACTCACGGCCATGGACTGTCCAATGGATACGAGGGTGTGCCGCATATAGAGGAGCCTGAGGTCACTACAGTGGAGCATGTGGTTCACCATCCGACAGTGGCCACACTCCAGCACCAGCATCAGATTCAGCAACATCACCAGATTCAGCCTCAGATTCAGCATCACATCCAGCACCAAATCCAGCACCAGCATCCGCACCTGGAACACCCTCTAGAGCACCATCATCATGGACTGGTTGCCACCGTGCTGCCGGCGGAATTGGATGCGGACAAGGGCGTGAATGGGCTGCACTTTGTTCACAGCCAGGAGGACAAGTCGGTGAGTAGGGAGTTAGGTTTGGGGTCTTAAGAGGCTTAGAATTAATTACCCCTGGAACATAATCGAGTGCAGGTGGACTTCCCTAAAGCATCACATCTTGGAGACTAAGTTAATTTAAAATCAATTCGAAGTAAAAATTTTAATATTAGATATCATGATAGTTTTTGTACGATATATCATCATAATATTGCACTCTCTGCCTTTAGCGAAATGTCAAATATCGGAAATTATCGTAAATATATCGGCAAGTTTAAAGTAAATATATCGGAATTTCAAACATAAAACTTGATAGGTTTTAAAATTGAAATATCAATAATATCGCTTACATATCGGCAAGTTATCCCCTTAGTGTTTGTGTCAGAAAAATCAGAATTTAAAACGAAACTTGATAAGTTTTAAAGTGGAAATATCGATAATATCGAAATTATAAGAGATATGTATATTTTTGGCACACATATGCCACAGATAAAAAATATCTATATAACTTTGCATCAAATACCGGTAGAGCATTCGTATTCCAACCCTTTTGTGCTTCAAAATAACTGTAAGACAGTTCATCTAGTAGAGGCCGCACTGTAGCCATGAAGAATGAGCTCCCCGAATGCATTAAATTAAAGCATACCTTGGGGCGCTCCACAAAAGGCTTAGCACTCCCCGAAAGCGTGCCTCATTGATTGGCATAGGCAAAAACACAATCAACATAAATAAGACAGCCACAAACAAACACGAGAGTGGGGTGCAGGGCTAGAACATTTCCAGGACGACGAGGACGAGGACCAGGACCCGGTCCAAATGGATATGGGAGCAGACACTCCACTGCGCCAGTCACAACAATGGGAATCCCCAAGCCGCCGCCCCATGCAACCCTTCGAATTTCAGCAGTCTCCCCGAGTCACCGGAGTCTGTGTGCAATTCTGTTTGATTGCCGATCCATGTCTCGCCGGTAATGCACTTAATCGAATAATTTTCAAGTTCGACAAGCATTTTCAATGTCGTTAGCCAGAGTCCTTCCCCGAACCTGTCCCTGGCTGCGTCTGCTACCTGGCAACGCAGCCACAAAAGCAATGCAAACGACTTCGTCTTTCATTACGATATAGTACTATCCCTTCCGACAGTAGTCTGGAGCTCACACGGAGAGAATTGTCTGTTTTCCTTTAAATTTACTTAAACAAGAGTTCAACTATTTATATTATATATTTTCGTACTAGAAACATTTCTTTCGAACTTCTAATAATAGTTGTTCCTCAAAAGTAGAATTTTTGAAGGTCTGCAAAGAAGAACCAAATATGTTTTGAGCTTCCTTTATACCCAAGTTCTTTCCTTATGTCTTCAAATTAAAAGTGTGTCCAAAATGTTATCCGCCTCGCATCAGATTCAGTTTAAAATTGTTATATATTTTTATTTTTAAGTGTCGATGCCACTATATTTTTCGGCGCTGTCTGAAGCAATTGATATCGCTACAGAGCAGCTGATGCGGTATATATATTCATTTGGCTCACCTCAAGCACTTGAAGCGTGTGCCAGGAAAATGCACTCGACTCCACACGCGTCCCGGAATTAACATTTTTTTCTTGAATAGCGGAAAAACTTTGCAGGATCCCGGGTTGGGTTTCTTGCATTTAATTTATCTGTATTCCTTTGGCCAACCGAAAGGTAAGGCGCAGCCAGGCAAAAGGCCACAGAAAAGTATCTTGAAGATGCGAATTGTGCAGCGTGTGTATCTGTGTCTGTTGAAAGTGACTAGACGCTTGGAAATAGACGGAAGGGAGGAAGTTTGTGGGGAACCCGGATAAACTGAAATCAGTCTAAGAAGAATGTTCAATATTTTTACTTTTTAAAAGAAAGCCAAATTTTCTTTATCAGAATTTCACGCCGAACCTTTAATTTACTTGTACAAAATTATACAACAAATGCGACACATCGCATCGCCTCGGTAATTACGCGCAGATCACATGGTAACAGAATCATCACAGAGCTCAGCTATCCACTACTTCAGATCCGGACAGGCCATTTGGTAGACGAACTGTACAAGCGTACGTGTGGGACGTCCGGTCATCCGCTTTTTGGTCAGATACGGCACCAGTCCGTACTTGGAGATCAGGCCAGTGCCGCGGGTATCAAGATGCGCCCAGTCCACGCAGGGCACCAGCTCGTGGAGGATGGCGGCAGCAAGGCAGGATGAGGCGAGTCCACGACCATTGTTGCTCAGGTCAAAGGACCGCTCGTCGGTGACCTGCTTTTTATAGTACTGCCACAGGGGAAGTCGCCAGACGCGATCCCCGGAGAGGGAGCCGGCACGCTGGAACTGCTTCCAGATGTAGTGCGAGTTGGAGAAGATGCCGGTGGCGCCGCCGCCGAAGGCCTTCTTCACGCCAGTGTTAAGCGTGGCAATGTCCACCACTAGACGGGGCAGGTAGGTCTTCTGGCCGTAAAGAATCGCATCCGAGAGCACCACCACTCCGGCCTTGTCCAGGTCGCGCACGGCCATCGATTTGCCGTTGAGCAGTGTGACCACGTCGCCCGGCTTGGCCGACATGCCCGATGGCATGTTCTCGCACAGCGGAATAATGCAGGTGACGTTGATGGGCAGCGACAAGGCAGCGATGCAGCGCATCATAGCCACGCAGCAGGCGGCGGCGGACATGCTGCCACGATACTCCTCCATTCCCTTGCACGGGCGCAGGTTGAGGGCTCCCGAGTTGAAGGTAATGCCCTTGCCCACGAAGAGGATGGGCTTGTCGTCGGGCGCGGTGCCGCAGTAGCTCAGCTCCAGAAGTACTGGCGGCTCACAACTGCCCTTGGCGATCATCAGAAAGGCGTTCATCCGCTGCGCTTCGATCCAGTCCATGGTGCGCACCTCGACGGTGATGCCGCAAGGGCACAGGGCGTCCACAGCGTTCTGGGCAAACATGGTGGGCGTCATGCAGTTGGCAGGGGCATCGCTGAGCCGGCGGGCCAGATTCTGGGCCTCCGCCTTGAAAATGCCCCTCGTCCAGCCCTCTTGGTCCGGCGAGTCGTGCAGAGTCAGTTGGGGGATTGAAGGCATGTTCTTCTTGGACAGGTTGTCCGTAAAGCGCCAGACAGCCAGCTGAGAGCCTTCGGCCGCCTGTTCTGCGTAGTCCATGCCGTCGACTGCGACCTGAGTGACCCCCTGTTCCTGCAAAGCGCGGGCGCCCACTCCGGCGGCCACACGCACGAACTCCATGCCCTCGTCCAGCATCTCCAGCTCGTTGAAGCCGATGCCTTCGAGGCCGACTCCCACGACGGCCACCGCCGCGAAATCGGGGTCAAGATTGTGGAAGACCTTGCCGCGGCCTAGTCGCCCGTCCAGCTTTGTCTCGCAGATCACCTTCATCAGCTTACCTTGCACCTTGTTGTCAATCACTTGGCCAGCGGGCGTGAGTCTCGGATCCTTGTTGCCCTCCTTCTGGTAGAGACCGACGACTACGCCTTTCGAATTTGGCTTGCTATCGGCGCAGGCGAAGCGAACGGGGTCGCTGCGCTGGACGCGTGCCTTGCACAGGACCCTAGAGGACATCCTTAGGGAGCTCTGTAAACGACCCATCTTGTTCATGGCGACTGGCTGTTAGTTGGTCAGTGTACACTCCACAGAACAAATATCGGGTTTCGAAAAATCCCCGCGAACGCAACGAACCAACACCGATAATTTTTGCGATAGAAATGATGTTTAAATTTTGCACAAGAATTTTTTTAGTTTTTTTTAGGAAAACCGAAAATTTAGTATAAGTTACTAGGAAAAAAGGTATACGAGAAAATTTTTCTGTAGACTTCCCAAACAAACGATCTGTTCTCTACCGGCGTACTTATAAAATGAACCTAATATCAGACAGGGCTCAGAGCTATACAGTCGACTGTCAGAAGTTGGATGTCAAGGACTACGTGATTCGAGAAATTTTAGAGAAATTTCTGAACGTTAAAACGTTGAGATCACGGAATATTGCACTTAAGCAACGTGTTTAGTAAACATGAACCATTCAAGGATACATAAGCAGGACTTTTAGAGTAACGAAAGTCTTGTAAATACATTATCCTGCCCTTATTAGTACTTCCTTTATAATAGATATCCTATGATCAAGATATATGTAGTTAGATAAGATAAGATCTTCAGAAAACTTTATGATATGTATATTGTCCTCAAAAATAATTGTTATAATCTTTGAAATTATCCCTCTACCAAAACGATACACCTATGTATAATATAAATAAATAAATTAATATAAATTAAATCCTTCTAAATACCTATCGTAAATAGTTATAAGAAAAAGAAACCCTCTGACTTCTCTGTATACCAAAATACACCCTTCACAGCATTACAATTTTAGATTTCAATCAAAATGCTTCTATTTCAAGCACAAAACTCCTTCTCAAATGATATAAAATTCCTTGAAATCGCCAAAAACAAGGCAAAAAGCACAACAAGCTATTCCCGATTCCGGTTCCGCCTGTTGTCGCCGCCAATCTACTTAAAATTGTTTTCGAGCTGAGCCAAAGTATCTCTTATTTTATTCTGCAGCGAGCAGCAGCAATTTGATTTGATTCTCGGGCGGGGACAACGACAGGGGGCGAAAAGCTGATTACGTTTTATTTATTGGCGTCACCAAATTGCAATGGGGATATCTTGTCCTGCATCTCTCGACTTTAGCGTTAATGCGCATTAAGCTGGCCAAGAGTGCAGCAGCTCCAGTAAACAAGGCCCGAAAACTGGCTCTGGCTGTGGCTGCGGAGCTAGCTGGTGCCGAAACACACATTGTTTTACTGCCGTTTAGCATGATTTTTAATAGGCTTTCGCCTTGTACCCGTCCCAGTGGTTGTGGACTTGTCGTCATCGGACTAAGCCCCATTGCCTGTCGCTCGGTCGGTCTGGTTGTTAAAACCCCAAAATCGCCGCCCGATGGTCATGATGGGCCAAGCCAGGCCAAGGGAAGCCCCGGACATTGTCCTGGTCCTGCTACTGCTACTACTCCTGCTCCTCGTCCTCGTCCTCTGTCCGTCCAGTCCGTCCGCCTCTGACAGGCAAACGACACTTGTTAGGCTCAAGTTTGGGGTGGTGGGAGGTGGACGTTAGGCCGCTTTGGGGGACTTTTCCGGAGTCGAGGACCGATGGGCCAGCATGCCGTTGCAATGCCCGTCCTGGGACTTGTTTGACGGCATCTGCTGCTCCTTCTAACGTGTGCGGACATGGTCAGATTTTTCGGGCATTTGTCATTTTATTGTGGTCGAAATGGTCGGTAATGGTCGTCACTCAGTCCGTCATGGCCCTTACAGGCCGACATCCGTGGCCCGAACTTCTGGAAGTCGAATGAAATTAAGTGGTTTTAGGCATTTCACACAATGCGGCTTAACCTTAATCGTATGCCTCACTAATAAGGGCCTAAATATATAACATTCTTCAAGTTATGCACTTCTTTATTTGAAAATGAACGCTGATACTTTTCCAAGTTATTTTGGTAAAGAAAAACACCATAAATACTATAATATTCCTCTCTGTAAAATTACTTTATTGGTGTATTTTCCAAGTATTAAATCAGAATCATTGGTAAATAGTTTAGTTCATTTATTCATAAAAATTATAAAACTTATATCAAAATTTTAATAGAATTTCCAACATTTTAACAAGCTTTGATCCATATTTTTCCAGTTACCAAGTCTTTACTGTATTTTCCTGGCGACTGTTTGTGTTTTCTTGCCATCTGCAGGTGCAATATTTTCCGTTTCCCACTCACATATTTTAATTTAATTTTTATTTCAACCCTTTTGCTGTTGCTTGTTTTCTTTGCCCTCCTTCGTTTTGGCCAAATGTGGGGGCAGCAACATATTTTTGCAAGTGTTGAAAAGAGCTTGCCTGGGATTTAAGTTTTATTTAATGGAGCCCGGCCCGGTCGGCTGACACATGTTCCCCGATTATAAGTTCTCGGTTCTCTAGAATTGAAAATCACTCGACAAAAGGGTTCTCTCGAGTGCTTTACGACCCCAAAAGGTTCACTTCCCTCTCCGATCCTCTGGGCATGTGTTGCTAATGTGTTTCGAGTGCCTTTGTCATGCAATTGATGGTTTGGGTTCGGGGTTTGGTTCCCCTTTAAAGGGAAACATTTGCAAGTGGGGCCTCCGAACAAAAGGCATCCGAAATTGACAACTTTGGCCGCTCGCTGGGCACATCTCTGACCCCATGGTTGACTTTAAATTAGCTTCACTTCATTCGCTACCCATAATAAACCACATACCCCGAGTGCAGCTAATATTCCTGTCCGCAGAGAAGGGTGAATGTTGCAAAAACTATGTGTAGTCGGTCCCCGCTCCATTGCTATTCCTGCTCCGGCTCCGGCTCCGGCTGCTGCTCCTGTTCCTATTCCTATTCGTATTCCTATTCCAATGATGTTTGCAACGTATTGACAGTCACATTCGCATAAAAATCACGTAGTTTGACATTTTTCTTGCTGCTCTGCCATTTCGTTAGATGGATTTTTTTCGACTCGGATTCGCCGGGATAAAAGGGATGAAGAGGAGGGAGCAGCAGAAGCTGGGAGCTGGGGGCAAGAGCAGCTGTCACGCAATCAGCCCGAGCGCAGAGCCAACAAACTGATAACTCAATTTTGGTTAGAGCAGGAAAATTGCTAACAAGCGAGCCATAAAAATTGTGGGAGGTTGCATTTAAAATTTCCCATTCCCTGCACATTTTCCGGCACTCGCCGGTAAATTATACAACAATTTTCGTTGGAGGTCGGTCCGCTGGTCTAATCATCGTCCTGCGGTTTTGGCCCAGGATCTGGAGCTGCTCCTGCTCCTTCTCCTGCTCCATTCATAATTGCGTGGCCAAAAAGTTTCGTCGCTCGGCAATTGTGTCAATGGCTGCCGTGTGGCATCAACGAGCCCAGGACATTCATTTGCCTGACGAACGCTGTTGAACACGTTCCACTTGATGGGGATTTTCACACTGGCCAGCCTCCAACTCACACCACCCCCAAGACCCGTCCAGACAACTCCACATCCGCCGCCGCCGCCGCCACCCACAAACACATGGCACTGAGGCGGCTCCCAACGCATTACATTGTAAAATTGGTTTTTGTAAATTGTTTGGACACAACATTTATTTCCATTTAAATGCGATTTGGCTCGGACCCAGTCCCATTCCAGTCCTTGTTCAATTTTAAATGAGCATGCAGCTGCAACTGCCACATTCCCCCTCCGACCTTCCCCTTTCTCCCCTGCTTACCCATGGAATCTCTGCCAGTGTCCCTTGAGGTTTTCGGGTTTCGGTACGAGGTGTTTGCAGCGCTTAAACGAATTGTGTGAATAATAAACGCAACACTCGGGGGCAACGGAGGCGGAGGGAGCATCGGCTTTGGATGGCTGGGGGATTCTAGGGGGGCGGCTTTAGTTACCCAACAAGGATTAGTGTACGGAGAGGAGCTGGGAATCCTTTCCGGCTGAGTGCAAATCATGAGCTAATTGAAGAGGGTAGCTAACGCAACGATTTGAATGGCTAAGAACGAGCTTACAGGGGGAGGGCATACTCTGCCCCAACTGGAGTCATGTGGAAATTTAATTTTAATGCAACGAAATCTAGTGGTCTTTGCTACTCAAATGTATATTTTCCCTAAGAGCCTGCTTAGCCCGTGATAATCAGACAAGATTCTATTTCAACTGAAAAAGGACGGGGATTTAATGTGTGTTTCTTTTCTTAATACAAAATATATAAATTACCGACTGTAGAACTCATTCAATTCAAAATGATAACTTATACAGGATTTTTTGTATCAATTTCATTTTTCTTGATTAATTTTAAAACCCTTTTTGTGCCCAGACTCTGCCATGGGGCATTATAATTGTCAGCCGGCGGTCAACGTTTCTTGATGTTTCGACCGCAAAAACCTGACAGCCAAACAACAAATCGAATTAAGTGGAAAATCAGAGTGAAATCAAGTCACACAATGATTTGCGCCACACCCAGGGATAATGAACATCCTGGGCCCCGATGGCCGCAAGGGTTAACCGCAAGGTCGGCCAGTCGGCAGTCGCCAATCGGCAGTCGGCAGTCGGGAGTGCGGGACCGTCAGGGGTTAAGGCCAGTCCAATGCCGCAGGCCAAACAAAAGGCAAAAACATTTTAATGAGCGCAGATGAGATGACAAAGCCGGGAGGAGGACGAGGACGCTGCGCAGAAACAATGCTGATTACATGCAAATTAAAAGAAATAAAAGTCAGGCAACGCCTTCAGCTTGAATGTCCGATGTCAAAGGCATTTCTCGTTAGGGCTTCTACACCCCCCTGGCCAAAAACGAGCTGGTAAGGGTCATGGGAGTGGGAATGGCGCATTAAGTTACCAGAGCAGCTGCATGGAGCAGGAGGAGGTAGTGGCTTATTGCTTTTGGCGACAGGAAAGAAAGTTGGAAGCTGCTCGGCATGTCAATTTGGACATACTTCGGCCATCTGATCGCTCACTCGCAACTAAACGAACTCACGTAGTTCGGCCCCAAATTGCATTTCGCACTCGACCCGCTGCACAATTCGCTAAAAGCCAATGCGCCCGGCTAGTGGAAACGTGTTAAATGCAAACAGAAAAAATATAGTGCCAATGGAATCCGAATCCGGCAATAAACCTTGTCCCGAAATGCACTTTTGTCATATTTGGCCAGGCAAATATTCGCCGCCATCCATCTATCTATTTAGCCAACGATGGCCATAGCGACGATGGCATAAAAACTGGCCACGTCATCGGAAAAAGTGGATAAAGCTCTCCCTGTTCCGTCCAGTTCAATATGGCACGTGATCTGATTCGGCTTCCACTTGGCTTGGCTTTATACATATTTATACCTGATAGACGAGGAGTATATATAGCAAGCTCGCTTTACCTATAAATAAAGTAAAAATAGTTGAGAAATTAGGGCTTTCTTAAACTGAAAATACTCTACAGATTAGGTTTTCAGAAATATAGCCCCTATAAGTAGGCCATATTTTTTAGTTATGCCACGACCGGGTATTCCATTGTCGAATAAATATTTTTTGAGTTTGTCTTTACAAAGCAAACATTCGCTCTCGCCCCCTCAACTTTTTTCATCTGCAATGTAATTATGTTCACTTTAACCAAATCAACTGGTAATGAAATTCCAAACTGCAGAGCCTTGCAGTAAGTTTTTTGTATCTTGTCTGGACGCTCTCCACAAATTTGCATATTTCCCTGCTGCTCTGGTTTATTGCGGACTTTTTTCAAATTCATCCCCAGACATATCGCAATCTATTAACATTTTTGCCGTGCTGTTAATGAAGCCCTAACCATCGCCACAATGCTGCAGAAATATTTTTTGCATTTCATTACGAGACGAAGGAGCTATAAAAAATGGAATTTAAGTGCAAATATTGGCAAATTGCTGGAGCAGAGAATTTATTAATTATGTTCATCGTGTTCGCTGAGGGGAACCGGGGACGGGGGACGGGGGACGGGGAAGCCTCCATCCTTGAAAGTAAAAACTCGCTAAAACAAATGTCAATCAGGCTTGTAATCAAGAGGGAATTCCACTCGACACTCAACACTTCCCTCTGGGTAGGTCTATAAATTTTCTAAAGTCTAAAGAAACTTTTGTTGCTTTGTGGCAGCACACGGAATAACATTTCGCATTTCGTAAAGCGGCGACAAAATAATGTAAAATCTAGTCGACAATGTAACTTAATTAAACTTAATTTACAACTCATTAACATATCAAAAAGTTTGCCACAAATCTTGGGGCCGGGCCCTATAAAAACCGCAGAGAGAGAGGCAGCCCAAAACATGTAGCGAAAGTTGCCAACAATTGTCGCCGAGATCCCGAGCATTTGAATGAGCGGAAACGGAAACGCACACGCACCCCCTCGCCACATCCGCCCCGCCATATCCTGGCGAAATTCGGCTCACACGCTCGCTTATTTCACTTCCAGTTCTATTCTGCTGAAATGCGAAATACTTACAATAAAAAGGCAAAACCCAAATTGTTCACGACAACAGAACAACAACAAAACGAAATCTATGCTGCACACAGAGTGCCACAGATTTCGGGGGTTAGGCAAGCCGGGGGGGGACTTGGTCTCGTATTTTGTTGCAAATTTCATTACGCACGCGCCTCCCGCCTCGATACAATTTACAATCGCATGCATAACAAACGGAGCCGTGCGAGTGACAGAGCTCCCATATCCATACCCCCGACTCCGCTGGCAGTCCAATCATCATCATCATCAGCTTCTCCGCCAGCTATGGTTCCCCAAGTTCCTTTTTTGGCGCATCATTGGCAACTGTTGGGCAAGGGAAATACCCTTTTTGGGACAGTATAAAGGAAAAATATTTGTAAGAGCTACGGGAATCACAAAATCAGCCTAAATGTGTGCCCAAAAATGTACTTTAAATTTGGTAACTTTTTAAATATCATTGCATACTTTTAGACACCCTTTTCAATGTTTTTAAAATAATCTAAATTAACTTCTTGTAAAGTCTATTACTCATGGAAATAGATATAATTAACTAAAAATACATTTTTGTGTGCTCTTATTTATTATTTACATTTCAGTTTTTTAAAATAAATGCATATTTTCCAAGTTTCTAAGAGGTTATTTTATTATTCTTAAAAATCATATAGCTCCCTTTTCAAACTACCCTGAGTGCACATTTTTCTTTCAATCAGCAAGTCGCCTCTCTTCCCATTATTTTATTATTTTCGCTGTTGTTGTGACCGCCCCCTCGGTGTTCACTGTACAGTGTACATGACAATGTGCTTAATGCATTTTGCATCGCATACTTTTCAGCTTGCGCACGAATTCCCCACTGCAGCAGTGTGTGGAATGTGCATATGGGCGTGTGATGAAGCCAGAACCTCCTACCCGCTCGATGAATGCAACTTATCGGTTTACTGAACAATCTTGCCAAATACATAACCAACTTATAAATATCTTTGCATCTTCGTTGCAGCTGCAGCAGTACGCCTCAAAGTATGCGTTCGGCTATCGCATACGTGATTTCCACACCGGCAACGACTTTGGCCACAAGCAGAACCGTGACTTGCACGGCGTGACACGCGGCCAGTACCACATCCTCCTGCCGGACGGACGCATCCAGAACGTGATCTACCACGCCGACGACTCGGGCTTCCACGCAGACGTCAGCTTCGAGAGCGGCGCCAAGCATTGAGTCAGACCCAAAGCGAGCGGCCTAATGTGCAATCTAGGCAATAAGTAATTATTAACTTACTTTTAAGTGCAATAAGTGCAATACTCCACGGATCCTTTTCCAGTTAATTGAAGGAGCCTTCTACATAGACTCCATGATGAGTTCTGAGCTGACTTGGCTATGGATTTTCGCAGGCTATGCGAAAAATGAGAGTAGCCAAGACAACAAATTATTTCAAGCTTTTTCTGAAACTTAAAATTTTTGCACAACATTAATTTTCTGATTTTTAAAAGTATAAAGTTTCTTGAAAAAGTCTAATATCTTACTAATTCCTAAAAGTTTTCAAGATCTTATGACAATGAACGCAAGTCTGAAACTGTATTTTATTGAATTTCTATACCTTGAATCCTTGAATTCAACCGATCATGAGATCTTCGTTTTGATTAGGCCGTAGAGAATACCATTGGTTAAAATAAATTCTTCAGAGAACATACGCCCCTCAATGGCCTGAGCCATTGTTCTGCGGCTTCGACCAAATACCAAATAATGACATTCTACCATTTCGAATCGTGTTTAAATGCTAACTTAGATATTAAGTAATTTCCATCTCGTTGATTGTTATTGTTACTTGCGAATTAGTTGTAAGCCGATGGAAATGCAATTAAAATTAAGGAGCCAGATGCCAGTTAACGTGTGTGTTCAATCGATGTGCAATAAAATGAAATCAATAAATTGCTGACAGCAGGAGGAGGTCTCTGACAAATTGAACAACTTTCAGCATTTCAGCATTTCAGCATTCGGCAAGGCGACTGACGGAATCAATTCCGAGGCGAACCTTCGAATCGGAGATGCGCTCTGCTCCATAATTGACTTTTAAATGTTCGTTATTGTGCGTTTAACGCACTGGACGAGCAATTATTCAGGCCTTGCCACTGACCTTTCGCTTCCGGTTGGCCTTTTATGACTTTGGCTATATTATTTCATTTCATTTTACTTACCTTACCCAGGCACTCAACAATCCACACTCCACACTCGGCACTAAACCAATTTTGATCTGCTCAACGGCTTGTTTGGCTTTAATTAAAATTGTAGCAAAATTTCTTTCTGGCGATCTTCGCCCAACCATTTATCATCGTCGAAGGTCAAGGTGTTGCTGCATGGCTGCTCTCGGCAATTTGTATGGCTTGTACTCCAAAAATTGTACTTTAATTAATTTGCTGCTGGGAAAATCGATCGATCGCAATGGCTTTTATTTTATGCCCCATCATCTTCATCATCGCCATCTCAACGTGACGTACTTGGCCCGAGAGTCCGGGCCAATGGCTTCCAGTTTCGATGTCATCGCAGATACAAATACATTACAGAAATATATAGAAAAAAAAAAAAAATACCACAGACCGAGAATCGCAGTCACATGTGGGGCTCTCTGCTACCATTTAAAGTTCAATGTTGCCAGCAATTGCAGAAACAAATTTCAGTCTCGGCCACTTCTGTGTTGTGTTAGCTTGTTTCTGTCGTTTTGCCAATTTGTTTGCCACTTTCCGACTCCGCACCTTTGAATTGCTTTTGCCATTATTCTCTGTGTTTGTTCTGCTTCTTTTGGGTTTGCATTTTTGAGTTTGCAGCGGATATTGTTATGTTTATTGTCTTTTTTTTTGTATTTTTTTCAGTTTTAAGGTTTCGCGGTTTTTCATGACGAACTCATGCAGAGCTCATTAACTAATTTAAGTGGCCCGCCTGAACAGTGAGCACAGCCAGTCTTCGGCTGAGGCGGAAAAGATGGAAATATTTATGGTTTCACCAGAAAATTATTGGCTGGCTGTTCTTTCCTCTGCTGAATAATTTATGAGGCTTATGAAGAAATCGTCAAAAGAATTCCGCAAATTAAATATTTTTGAGAGGTGTGCCAACTGACATCCAATTTTGTCGCAATGCAGCTGTGAAAATAAATGAGAGAAAAATCGGATAATTATAATAAAACTATTAAAAATATTCATAAGACTTTGAAGATACATAAGTTAAGGAGCTATCTCTTGAACATTTACCAATTATTTTACCCATCTTGGCCACTGTGCCACCTTCTAAAAATTTGGAACATGATCTTTTTGTGTTTCTAATTTTCGATAGTTTAATTGTTTTGACATTAAATGGTATGAAGATGATTCGTTTTCTGGTCTCCGGTGAGGAGCACCTTTCAGAATCGCTCGCTCGTACGTTCGTTCTCCTTGTGCAGCGGGAGTCTGCGGTTTTATGGCTCGGATCGCCTTGCCAGGCTGCTGGTTGTATCTCAGCAGCTTGATTGACATTAATTGCCAATGCGACCGGGCCAAGAGATGCACACGTCGCTCACATTGCTGCACTTCTTATGACTTTTGCTGTGCAATTTTTTGTCTTGTTCTTTTTTTCGCTTGGTAATTAAGCAATTCTCGAGTTAATTAAAACAAAAGTACAGAAGAATGCACAATTTTGACAAGATTTATGTGGGGCGACCTCAAAAATAGCAGTTGTGGTGGTGCCGCAATCCATGAGAACCAAGTGCATGATAATTATGGTATTATATATAAATCAGCGCATTAGACGTGGCAAAAAAAGCGTCAAAGAATCGCAGAGAAAAATTATATTCCACGCCCTCGCGACTCGAAAACTCTGGGACCAAGCCCATTCTCAGGCCCCGCCAAGAGCAGGGAGAGGTTGCAGGGGCTTGGGGGAAGAGCGTTGAAGTTGAAGTTTTTGGCGACGATAATAAAATCCCATTTAAGTTTGACGATAAGTTTTGACCATTAGTGGGCCGCCCAGGGGCTCCGAGGGGGCTGTCATTGCGAGTTAAATGCCTCGGATTTTCCCTCTGCTTTTCGCTTATTTTATTTTCCCCCTGTTTTTTGGTGTTTTCTTTTTTAGCAGCAAGTTATGGAGCCAACTTTGGTGGGCTCACATTGCAATTGATAAGCAATGAGGGCCGTGCTTAGGGGCGTGGCTAATGCTGTTTCAGAACTTGGCCAAATGCCGTCGCCCCCTGTTTTTGATAAATGTTCGTACGATCGAAATGTGCGAACATTTGGCATCAGAAATTTTTGGCAGAGCCATTTGCAGAGTTTTCCAAATTCATTGGAGTCTTCTTCAGCCAAATGCTCCTCTTAATTGCCCAAAGCAAACCTTCTTGAACCTGAGTCCGATGTATGTGTGTGTGTAGTTCCGGAAATAATAAGCAAGTTGTTCTAGATGAACTTCTGTCAGGGGGTCAGTTCGTAGCTGAAACTTAGTTTTATTGACATTTATTTCCTTAAGCATACTTCACGTTAATTATCAACTAATTAACACAGCTAACTGCAGTATAAAAAGTTGTCTTTAACTTCTTTGTTTAAATCTTTTTTAAGCTTCAAAATAAATAAACTAAATATAAAAAGTGTAATATGGCCAAAAACCAAACAGAAACCAATGTTTAATTTGTTTAATTCCCTAGAATATTTATCAGAAACTTGACTTGTTCAATATAGAAACTGAATATTAGAAAATACAATACAAACAATTTATTCCATAGCATTAGATTACATATTTTACGATTTTTAAATTGCGTTTTGAAGAAGAAATAGGAGTTTGGTAGAAAATATTCTCAAATTAAAACGAAAACAAATATTAAATCAGATTATTTTCATAATATTGAATTCCTTTCGAATATATATTAGATATTCCCTAGGACAGTCTTCAAAATAAAGCCTCGTGTAATTGAAACCTTTCATTAGCACGATTTAAATCGCATTTAATTGACTGAAAGTTAATAGCTGTCTGTGCAGGACGGCTGTCTAATTCAGAGATGTCCTTCCGTTGCAGGCAGTTAGTCGCCGGATGGACAGCAGGTGCCACCAACAGAGTCTGGACGAATCCTTATCCGCCTCCGGGCAACTGCAGCCATTGTGTCCGTGCGCCTCGCAGGCAACACGTAAACAAGTCAGAGAAGGTTACTGCTCAATCGCTCAGGATCTGCAGCGGTGGGAAGAATAAGGGATTCCGTTTTTCCAAGGGATAAAGGGTTTTTCCTTGAGCAGGCTAAATAAAAATTAACAAGGATAAATGATGCGACGAGGCAGCCGATGTCAGAGAGGATTCCGGTAATTGTCTAGAGTCTAGAGCAAGAGCCGGCGATGCCCTCCTCCATTACTTCCCAGTGTTTTTGCGTGTAAATTGATTAAATGCAAAATTGGAATATGCAAATGCACACACACTCACCCACACGAGGCGCCTTGGACTTGGACTGGGCGTGGCCCACAGAGGGGCGTGAGCCGGGATGTGATTTATGTTAGGTGCAAAGTTTTCCACAACTTTTTCCTCCACTTCGCCAGCCTTGATTTTATTCTTCCCTCGGATATTCGCTCTCTTGTTTTCTCTTCTTATTTTTTGGGTGCAATGAACGGAAGTGCTGAAGATGACGATGACAATGAGCGGGGGAGGGCTGATGCACAGCTCGGGAGGGAAGGTGTGAACGGAGAAAAAATTCGCTTAATTTGTCTAAAGAAAAGCCAAGCGCATGAAAATTTCCATTAAGAAAAATGGTGGCAAGTGTGGCAAGTGACAGGGAAAGCTTGACTTTGGCCCGAAGATTTTTTCCAGCAACAGCGCCGGGAAAAACTTATCACAGTTGCGCTCCTCGGTGGCATAATGAGAGCAATCAACAGGAAACTCCGGCAAAGAGATCAAATCAAATCCGAAGGAAGTGCCAAAAGGAGATGGCCGTAATGAATGCAATCCTCGGAGCAGTTGCCAACTTTAAAAAATGATCATTAGGTAGAAACTTTTTTAATGAGAACAGCACAGACGCCGAGAGATTTCATCGGCAACATAAATTTTCAGACGGGAGAAATTAAAACTAAAAACTAAGAACTAGTGAAAAATATACCTGTTTATTATGATTTTTGAATAAAGTATTTTAAGAAAAACTCACAGAAAAGTTGTTTAAATTTTTTGTAAGTAAGCTAAGCAAAGGCGTAAACTTTGAAGGTTTTTCCCCTTTTGCTCTTTTCGTAACAAACCCAAAAAAATAATCTTAAATTTCATTTTTATAAAAAACATTATCCCAAGGAAATGCCAAGCAAATCGAACGACATTTGATGCGCCTTCACCGCGTTTCTATCGGAAACTCCAAGTATTCCATCAGAATCCAAGACATTTAGTCTATAAATAGTAAAAGGCTAAAACAAAACTAGCCTCTGCGCGGAAAAAATATGCAAATCACTGCTGAGAGTCTGGACCAAAAAAAAAAAAACCGACCTCCGAAAACTTCGACCACTTCTCACACCGAAAATTCGGCAACAACAGAAGCCGAAGCTTAGCCAGATTTAGATGCAACAGCGGCAACAATAAAAACGAAGCAACATCCAATGCTGGTGGCAATAAAATGCGGCAATTACGTAGTTGGCTATTCTAATTCACTCAGTTTTAGCTTGAAAAAGGTGCGCCTATGCAGCCGGTTGGAATGTGTTTGGGGTTCTGCCAGTAAAAAACCAAAAACAACACTGGTAACCGCCATCAACAGGTGATTCGCCTGAATGTTGCACGAAATGTGCAAAACAAATTCGAGGGAAATCATTTTAAATGCTTCTGAGTCTGTTCTTTTAAATGTTAATTCTTTTTTTTTTTTTGCTTGCCTGGCTTGGCTGCAACAATTCAATAAACTGCAACAAAAAGCCAACAAACTTTAAAATGTCAACAGCTAGGCCAAGACTAAACAACAACCATTGAAGCCCACGAATTATTTGGCCAAGTTTTGCTTCCGTTTTGCTTGAAGCTCTCTCGAGTGTCCACTTGATGAATTAAGCGGGAAATTTGCAAAACTTTATTACTTTGGACGGCTCTTTGAGAAATGATCGAAAATGGAAAAAACTGCAACGCCAGCAGCAACAGCAGCAGCAGCAACTGCGGCGGCAACAGCTGCTGCCACGGCAATGACAGCGAAACAAAAGTTGCCCAATTGATGTCAAGTTATTGTTGAGCGGAATCAAAAGGAAATTTTCATCACAACTTGCACTTGACTCCATTGTATTATATAAATTCGCCCCATCATATTGCTCTAATTACATTTTAAGTCGAAATCTTTTCGTAATCGCAGCTACCACTGCCACAAGCTGCACTCCAGCTCCACTCGAGTGCGGCTCAAAGAAATTTCAATGTGGCCCGGAGTGTGGGACATGGCTCGATCGCCGCGGCTGCCCCAATTGCTGGCATCGGGTATTATGTTGTTAAGACGATTTTTGACAGTCTACACTGTATAACTTTGCCTCCACCTCAAGGGGCATACACACGGACACACACGTGTGCGGTGTGTGGTGTGTAGTGTGTGTGCCCCTCAAGTGTCACGGAAATCAAAAGTTAAAAGTAACCAAAAGTTGTTCAATTACTTTTCATTCGCAGAGTCCATTGAACGATGTCAGCAGGTGTAAGAAGTGATGCGCAAAGTACGTAAGTAAGATGGGGTAAAGCATCAAGAATTTTATTACCGAACTTGGATACGCCTTGGCAAGAATTTAATGTTTAAGACTTGTTAACTCAATAAATTGCCAAATAATATCGAAGGTTAACTAACAGTTTAAATAGTTACTATTAGGTGATGATGATGTCGCTGAATTTAAAGAATATTTTTACCTCAGTTTTTGTTAAAAATGTTATATTTTAATAAATTGCCAACGAATATCTATTGAGAAGGCACATCCATAAATAAAAATACCGTTTATTCATAATTTTCTTAGGTACATTATCCATTTATAGGTACAATTGAATAATGAAAACCAAGCATATTTTATAATACTTTTTTTAGTTCAAAATACTTATAACCAATAAATATAATAACATTATGGTAAAATTGTACAAATAATAATAGGCTAAGGCATATTGTACCTAACCAAAAAAATTCTACTCTTAATGAAGTCTCTATAAATTGCCAAAGAATATAGTTAAATATTGAATATCTTAAGCAAAAATAAAGAATTTTGTTTTTACTTTTCTTTGTAGGTCCTTAGAAGGTAAATAGGTACAATTTAGTGATGATAAATAAATATTTTCTTAAATTATTTTATATAAATTAAATGCCTTAATTATATCTCTGAGTATGATTTTTTTCCCAGAAAAATAATATTCATAATTTATATTTCAATAATATTAAATTAATTTTCTTATTAAAATACATTTCCTACGGTACTCTTACCGAGTACCTAACTACCTGACATCACTGAACGTACGCCTTTATGGTGTAGTTATATTTCGGTTGGCGGCTTCCCCCACATACATTGAATATCTAATTTTAATAACGCGCAAACACGCACACACCGACACCTCCCAAGTGGTCGATATAAAAATGTGAAGAAACTCTGAAATCAGTCATCGAAAATAGATTGCTTTTAATTGTTATTTAATCTCGGGCCGCTGAGAAGAATGTGATATGGCCAAGGTTAATTGGTGCTGGGGACTTGACGTCTGACGGAAGGAAGGACGAGGACGTCGGCCGTCGGATGTCGTCTTGCGGAAGGAGGAAGAGAAGCCCTCGACACGTCTGCGGCACACGAGCCTTGTGCAATCGCAGCAGCCACCGATGGATGAGATAAGTTTTCGGGGCTTCGACTTCTTTGGCATGAGCCTCACGTCATAGATTGCATTTCGGCAGCAGCAGCAGCAGCAGCACCTCTGCCGGCCTGCCGGGACCGGGAAATTGGGACGCCACATGAACACGTTTCCATTGGCAGCTTGTGCAATTTTCCCCAGGCAGCCGCATCACGTACTTCTCACCCGAAACTTATTCTACGGCGAGTTCTGCTGCTTTCGCAAAATCCAAACAGAAAGGGCGCCCGTGTGTATATATCTATATCTTTGAGGGACAGAACGGAGACTATCATCTGACATTCCCAGTGACATTTTCGTCTGGTCTCGATTACCACTGCACCAGCGCCCGAGGGCCACAGTCGCCAGACTTCATAAAGGCTTAAATATCAAATTTGGGCTCCGACTATTTAATAAAGTCATTTGGGGCGTTTGCAGGTCTCGGGTACTTGTTATAAGGCACATCCGCCTGAGTGGAACCAGCCCGATCATCGTCGTCTGGCCAATTCATCATCGTAATGATCGTTGCTCGGTGTGCAGCACCATGATCTGCAACATTTTTCACCTCAACACTCTCGGTTTCGGTCTTAGCTGGCGAAGAGAAGAGCACCTGAGCGCTCCCGCCTGGCCCATTCTGAGAGCTGGCCAAGAGAGAGAGAGAGAGAGAGAACCAGGCAGATGATCTAGAAGTTAGGCGCTAGACTTGGCTCAATTGTTCAAACCGCTTTTTTGTTTTTGTTACCTTTGGGTGCAGTTGGCAACGCGAACGCCGCGAAGTCGAAGTCGAAGCTGGCAGCGGCATCGACGCCACCGTCAGCGTCTCGAGCGTTTATTATAAAAAGCAAGCGCATCTCCATTGTCTAACCTAATTCAAAACGTCGTGTACTCCGTGCGGTTCGAAACACACAAAAACTATAAACTGAAACTCCACCACCACACTCCATCCATCCCCCGTCCCGTGAAAGTAAGCTCCAAGAAGAGAATACAAATAATTCAAGTTGTTTCATAAAACTCCAGTGACTCGGGGGCCCCCGGAAAGGACTCGAAATTAAATTGTGTGCAACATCGAAATCGAATCAAACGAAAATCGAAAATCTAATAAATTTAATTCAATTCAATTTCAACTTTAGCAAGCGGCCTTGTGGATACACACCCATCTTTATTGCCATTTTTCGCACTAAAACTACCGAAATTCAAACAACACAATGATGTCCTTCAAGTCGTTCATGCTGCTTGTAAGTATTTATAAAAAACAAAGCCATATATTCAGAGGGGTGGAAAAAAGGGAGCCCTAAGCCTACATAAATCAGCTGGCAAAACAAATCATATGAGATTTGGCAGGCGGGTCCTTTGGCTAAAACGAAACTATGTGGAAAGGACAACAAGTTAAGCTTGTTATATGTCAAATTTGTTTATCGCCAGGACGGCGGTCGGCGGTCGGCGGGCTTGGTATAGAAAATAGGAATATGGCAAATGGTCACTCAGTGTCCTTTTCCACAGTCAATGTCATTTTTCTTCTGCGGCTTTCGCTTAGCCCCAGCTCATCAGGCCAAATGTTTGCGGAACTTTAAATGGGATTTGCCAAGGAAAACTGGTAGTAGTTTCAAGTGCCTGGCAAACAGGGCTTTGTTTCTTTTTCTTTTCTGATTTTTTTCGACGATTGCATAAGTTGCCACACGTCCGCCACAGATCCTCTCATCATCATCATCATCAGCATCCAAGACCAAATCCACATCCGAAAGTCAAGTGGCGAAGGGGACACAGTGGTAACCATGCCCCCGCCAAATCGATCAAATTGCAAATAATCAAAGACACTTAAGAGCTCCACTCTGCTCTCGGTTAATATATGTACTGTGCTCGGATACAAATGCCATATTTGGCAACATCTGTGCGTGCCGAGAGCCCCGTAAACTAGGCCCCAAATCCGAGCAGCGGCAATATTCCCTGATTGTTCCCAACTAAACACTTCACAGGAGCAGGCGGGGGACACATGTTGGTAATATTTTTCCCTCCTCGCATTTAGGCATGGCCTAAGTGAGGCCCCATCTGAGGAAAATGGCAAACCTTTTCCCCTCTCCCCCGGAAAATGTGAAAAAAAGTGAATACATTTCGGCTTCCGATATCTGAGTTTTCAAAGTACACATTTGCTTAGTGAACAGAAAACGAAGATTCTCACCTCTTCGAGTGGAATTTCCAAAAACTGTTTATGAAGAGGAAAAAACAAAGTCAAAACTGAAGAGCCCTTCAAAGCCTATTATTACTTGGACAGCTTTTGGCTAAAAATAACTTTTCAATCTATCTATGGTTACATTTGTTGAACAATCCATGAGTTGCAGAAATTTGTTTGGGAAAATATGGCTTGAACCTGCCAATATTTAAACAGAAAATCGAATTAAAGTCTTAAAAATAGATTATAGACTGCAGTTTATAATTACCAAATTTAAAATCAACCTGGAAAAAGGCTTTCCTTTATTAGACACTTAACCTGCAATCAACTGCATACTCTTAACTGCCAGGATACTTTCACTTGGTTCACCCTTTGTTAAAGCATTGATCCTTTTTTTTTTTTGTTGAGGAAACGCCCTTAAGCAGGCAACAAAGTGAAACAGACGGGAGCCTAGGTCCCTGGTCTTTTTGTTGTAACTGGGGCGTGTTAAATTGTTGGTGCGACACTTGGATGCAATGCAGACCAGACATAAGTCCCCGCAGTCTGGGATCTATCCAAAGCACCTTGCCCATGCCACTTACACGGAAATAAAAATATATGGGAAATAAATCTGTAGAGGCTTTGATTTAAAAAAAAAGAGTTTTTCTTCTTGTAGCATTCTGACAAAGCCTCTGAAAGTCTTTAGAAACCTTCAAAATCCACTATATTATTATATTTTCTCTGTAATAAATAAGAAAATGTTCCTGATATTTTTCCCAGTGCTTTTTCTCCAGCTCTGTGCGTCTGGCCTGCCAAGCAGATAACTGCCAAAAGGTGGAACAGACGGTTGAAAAGAACTAGAGTCTGTGGGAAACGAGGAGTGGAACTCTGGCCAGACGCGTGTAATTTGCCGCTTGTAACTTTTTGACTTTTCACCAGCGCGATTCCTTTTCCCCAATGCCTCTCCTTACTGCCCTTTTTTCTCTTTGGCCATTTTTGTTTTGGCCCCTAAAAATATTCAGACGAAATGAAAAGCAGGAACAGAACTTTCGCCCACCAGCGGCAGACACTCGATAGACAAATGGCCGCTGGCCGTTTGAAATGGCCGGGCTTTTGAGAACAGCATGGCGAGCATGTTTTACATGTTAATTTCGGTGGCAGCAGCAGCTACCCGGCCACCAAAAACCCAGCCGCCCACTCCAGTGACAGCTTTTGATATTTTCCAGGGGGGGTTTTATACAAAACTTTTGATAAAATCAATTTTGAAGTTTGTAAATCGGTGAGTTCTGTTTTGAAGCTTCTAAATCAGCGAATTGTTTCTTTACTTACGTGTTTAAGAAAGCCATATCTCAAGTATAATCTTCAGATTTTTGGATATTGCTGAATATAACCCCCTCCAACTCCACCACTGACAAACCTCCCCACCCAACTGCGGTTGCATATTAATGCCCCTGATCCAGCTGCTCATTTTCGCACGCAAAAATAGCAGAAATGGAAACGAAGAGTTCGGGAAACGATTGACGGTGGGATGCCGAAAACTGCAGTACGGGCACGCTTTTGAATTTCAAATGACAAACATAAAATATTCACAGTTTGATATTTGCACTCTGTTGTCGATGAGCTGACAAGCTGGGAGCCCAAGATGCCTGCTGCATTCTGCAAATGCTGAATTGTCGTAATTTGGCCAATGCGAATTGTGAATGCAACGAGGCGCAACTGGCTGGCAGGTTGGCTGCCTGGCTTCTGCCGGGTCAATGCTGCCTCCTATTCTGATTAGAGCCGCCTGATTACGGCCAATATATCGCATGCCGAGCCAAAACCCTTTCCATTGGCTCTTTGACTCCGACGCTCGACTGCCGGCGATTCGAGTGTGAACAATTGCCCATTGAATGATGGATTATGTGCATGGGGAGCTTGGATATATCCGCTTTGTAAAGGAGTTTGAATTACTTAGTTTTAAAAGGTTTCTAGACTTTCGATAATATTCTATTAACATAAAATAGAGAATTCTTTATTATTCAACGATAACCGAAGCTAAATAAGCTATATTTTCTTCTGCTTAGTAAATGCTATATGTTTGGGATATGTTGAAGTAATTCCAATATCTACATGTCATACAAAATATTGCAAATTTAATATTTACAAACAATTCCCTGAAAGCGCATTCCAACTTCGTTGGAACTACCTCTCCCCTGCGTTGCATTACAAATTCAATTTTAATTGAAATAATTTGGCAGATTTACCAGATTTCGCTTGATGCCGATTGGCATTGCCTCGAAGCTGATCTATGCTTAGGTAATTGAGCCTCGAGTCGTCCGACGCGAGCCTCTTCTCAGACCCATTCTTCTGCCTTGGCGGTATGCAATTTTGCGGCTTTTCTGATATTTTCTGCATCTTTTGTGCGGTTTTTATTGTCTTTGGCAATGGGGGAAAAAATCCAAGCGAAGAAACCCCAAATAACAAAAAATTAATGACGCTTGAGCAAGCGGCAAGTGCAGCAGCATCGCCAGAGAATTCCGAGTGCGAGGATTCCAGGGGATTGGAGGGCAGCTGGTAGCCAGCCAACCATTTGTGCCTTTGTGTGTGTGGTAATCTAATTAAATCGAAATTTCAGCTGATTACAAAAGCCCAGCCTCCGCCTCCGCCGCCGACTCCGACTCCGTTAATTGCCCAACCAAAACCGAAGCGTTCAACGCGGCGTATGCGCAATATGGAAGAGCAAGGGAGCCCCGAACTCTGGCTATCTTTTCAGCCAGCTTCTGCGAGGAATTTTTAATTGCTGTGTTCCGTTTCTGTTTCTGCCCGAAAGTGTTATGTGGTCTGCGTTTTTTGCCAGCAGCTGGAAATGGGAAATTAGTTCACTGGGGCTTTTCGCCATTTGAATAAAACCACTTTTTAGCCAATTTAGGCAACTTGGCTAGTTTTGGAAATGGTTTTCTTTTTAAAATATCCATGTTTCAGCAATTAAGTCTCCTCCTAATGATAGAATGAATATAATTTTCAATTAAAAATCCAATTTATTAATATTTAATCATAGATAAAAACTACAATCATCTGGCAAGTTTATCCGATTCCCTCCCGCAAAGCTTCCACATTGTTTTTTATAACATTTTAAGTAAGTTTTGGCTGTTGGGCGAACAATTTGCAAATTCATAGCTGGCCATAAACAACTACCTGAAGCATTGGGTCGTAACACGTAATTTATAAGTTTTTCAACGCCTGTTTTCTGGTTGTTTGAAAGGTTAATATCTTCATGCGCCGGCTGGCAACGTGGGTGGGTTAACCCAGTAAATTCGGGTTAAATAGGGTTAATGTGGTGCCTGAACAAGCCTAATAATTTGGGCACTAGCTAAGCCAAGAAAGGGGCCTAAATTCAAGGAAATTGACATATCAACGGCGAATCCCCAGGGAGCTCAAGTCGTGAGACAAGTCAACCTTTGATCTTTGGCATTGTCCTTGTCGCCACGAGGCACGTGACTCTTGAGTAAACAGCTGGCAACGTTGCATAAAAAAAGAGGGGGAATTGATTGAAAACGGGCTGAGACCTGCAACTTTGTTACAACAAAAGACTGAGACGACAAACTGCGAGCGGCCAATAAAAGTCATTTCCCATTGCAGAGGCTCCTCCTCGACCCGCTCTCTCGCCGCTTGCCATTCACATGGCCCATTAACTTTTATTTTGCCAAATTTGCATTTCAATGCCCCAAAACTGGGCGACTGGGGGCACCACACAGGCACTGGCAACATGCAACATGCAACGTGCAACAGAGCGATGCAGATGGGAGATGGCGATGAAAAGGTCAACCAAATGTTTGTTGTTCTACTGAACGAGTCGCGTCGCGGAGTCGTGTCGTGTGTTGCAAGTGCATGTTAATCTAACATCTATGTAGGGGACTTTTTTTCGGTTGTTACTCCGGTAATTGCTGGGAAACAGCTGCGGCCAGATACAGATACAAAAAGCTGGTGAAAAAAATGTGGAAAAAATGCAAAAATTCCATAAATTAAGACAGCATGGCACAGCCGCAAGTAGGAAGCCCCTAACCCGAACCCAACCTCAGGCTTCATCATCGCCACCACCGACTCCATGTGGGCGTTGCAGAATGCTGCTGCAGTCTAAGTTGTCTAAGGTGCAACCGCTCCAAAATGATGCAACCCAAGAAGAATCCATATGCCTCCCCAGATGATGTCTTAATAACAGGCCCAGAAACGGAAAATCAAACAAAATGCCATGGGATAAGCGGATAAAGTCGCCTAAGACTGGCCGTAAACCCCTTAAACTGACGGGCGGCCAATTAAATTAATTAAAATAAATGCAGCGAGCGCGGCAGCATCTCCGGCCAGGTTTTTATGAAGACATTTCGGTATAAACATTTTTATTGCCACCATAAACCGACTGCCTGACCGGCCAGGCCAATCCGATTCGCTTCGATCCGATGCAATCGGCTCAGGCATATTAAATGCTAACCGCCCATAAATCAGCTCCGACTCCAGACACTCTCGAGTTTGCCATTTAAGCCGCATTCAAAATGCAATTGTCATAAATAAATGCATCTGAGCGGATCGCTGTAATTTGGCATCGGATTCTGTTAACTGGGTCGTGATCTAATGTGAGCGCGGGGCTGAATGTGAGCACTTGCACAATTTAATATTTATGCAAATCCCATGCTGGCTGACCTATAAGCTTTTCAAATAAAAGCCGAGGTATTCTTTGAGCAAACATGTAATTAATCTCAACCATTTCCTAGCAAGTGGTCGGCGGGCGGACACATTCTGTCCAGAACTCAAGTACAATCTCCAAACATGGCTGCAAACATTTTCTAGACGGCGGACTTCCGCACAACTATGTATGTTCGATTCCCCGCAATGATTAATTATCGAGGCGCTTGAACAAAACTTGTTGATTTAATCAAACAAATTCAATTATGCGCCAAGAGCCTGTCGATGTAATTAACAACTCAGCCCGACTCGGTCCGAAGGCAGGTAGCTATGCAGCATAATAGCCATTTAATAATAAGCCGGACAAAGCAAACAATTGTTAATTTATTGGTTTGTGCACGATTAATGATGCTTCAATGCGAGCCGGCTCGTGCCTCTTTATTTTTGGACCGGAGTGTTAGGGAAGCCTGCGTGCGATGAGTAATAAAAATCTGTTATTTTGGTAGCAACCGCTCTTGGCAAGATCAATGCCTGTCGTTCCGTCGGAGTCAAGGTGCCGCTGGCCACCGACCATGGCAAAAATGCGGAGCGAAACCCCCGAGCCACGGCAGCCCAAGGCAAACCTTCAATCCGATGAACACCTTCTTACAATGAGAACAAAGCCCAGACCGCACAGAAGATGTAATGGTTGCGGTTGCCAAGGCAATGGAGGCGGGCACAAATTCGGAAAACTAGGAAATGTAAATATCTATCTAGAGCACTGAAAAAATACAGATAATATGAGCTAAAGTTCTTCAAACATATTTAGAAAGTGGAAGCTTCAAAATAACCATATGAGAATCAAATTAAAAATATTTATATTTATGAATTCCTATTTAATAATTGCTATTAAATCATCAACTATCATTAAAAATGTTCTTCAATCCACTAAGATAACTATTACAACCCACTGTGACTGTATTAAATATCCAGCAGATTCGTTGCCCGATTGTCTCAATCTTTTTGGCCAGACTCTTGCCGAATCTCCCTCCCTGCCCTCTACCCACTATCTGTCTCTTTCAATCTTTCGTTGCATTTTGCCCAATTTGCAGCTCCTTCTCCCTCTTGGCCATTAAATTTTGGGGCTGTCGTCAAGTTGCCGCAATTTATTTGGCGGCTCTTTTTCCCTGCTATTTAATTAACACGCAAATTATTTGCCGTTATTTTATTGCTGTTGCTGGGCCAACTAACCGTAATTACATTTGTTTTACATGCACAATCGCCGTTGACATGCTTATTGGCCAGGTTTTTCGTCTGTTGCCGCCTCGGGTTTAGACTTGAAGTTGACTGAAGGTTAGGACCACCCAGCTGGGTAATTGCGGAAACTTTAGTGGAGTTAATTAATTTAAAATTAAGCTTATTTGATGAGAGTGAGTAGGACAAATACTTGTTTTACGGAAAATAAAACTTAGGAAAGTGTTCATTGAAACGAAGAAAATGGATTTGAAAATACATCAGGCTTAGCGAAGATTATTGATATCATTTAATTGTAGTAATTTTTGTTAAATCTCAAATATTAAAATAAAATTTTATATGAAGTGCCGGTGAAGGTGAGCTGGTGAGCTGGTTAATATAATTGAAAAGGAATTTACATGTTCATCGCCTGCCAAGGCTGCATTAAATATTGATTAGATTCATTTATGTTTTCCTCAAAATTAGATTCCCCAACGCGATAATAGTAGTTGCCAGTAAATGTGCTCATGAGAAAGCCTCGTCCGAGGCGGAATCCCGCTTTCCTTGACCAAATATACCCACATTCCCATGGGGCTGGAGTTACACGTTCGGCCAACACGTCGTATGTGCAATTAATAAACACACACACAGCTAATCAGCAAACAATGTAAAGCAGTTCCCACCTGGGATGCTAATGATAATAACGATGGCTCTCCGTGTGTGTCTCCCAGCATAGAATATTTCCAGCTGTGAGTAATTTAGTGCCTTCGGCGTTTCCGCAATCCGTTGCAGCATGTAAATTGAAAAAAAACAAACATTAGATGACAGGCAGAAGCCCGGCCAAGTGATTATGGCAACTGGTTGACCGGCGGCTGTCAGCCGACTCTGATGGATGGCTGCAATCCGAGCTGCGCGGCTAACATGGCTGCGTTGACGGGCCGTCGTAATGGCCATCATGTGCATGTGTCAATTAGCCGTGTTTAAAGAGCGGAATCGCAGGAGTCGGCAGCTAACCTCCGCCATTTGTTGCCCTTTTCGCCGGCCGTAGAGCAAACGCCTCTCGGGCACGTTCTAAATAAATTGCAGCCGTTTTTGGCGGAGGCTGAGACTCGGGCTTCTGCTTTGGTTTTGGCTCCGACTTTGGTTGGCTCTGGCTTCCATTCGTACACCCGCAGATGCACCTGCTCTGTGGCTGAATGTCAGCAGCGATCTTATCGCCTACTTCTATTTCCATTTGCAACCGTTCACTTTTCAGTTCGCCCTCTTAATTTAACCTTTAAGACATTGCTCTAATGTCGCCCATCTTCTTGCACGTTAAAAAATAAGACACAAATCAGAAAATTCTTTAAAGAAATTAATTAAACGAACCACACAAACATAGAGAAGCTGCACTAATTTGACGATAATATAGGAAGGACTCCATATATGTAAAAATAGACAGATAGTCAGTGCACTCTTACCAACAGCTTTATTTCGATTTATGTTTTATTTATACAAAATATTGGTTTTACTGTCATTTTTTTAGTTGTTATTTCAGCAAAATATAATGAAAACTATTAATAAAAAGACTGAAAAGCTTTAAGTTAACAACTATTTTCGCACAAAAAACCTTAATTTAATTTCTGTATGTTTTCTTTTAATTTTCAGAGCTTATCCCTCGCTGCCATCAGTGCCTATGTCTACGCCCAGATCGCTCCTGGCTCCAACGCCTACCTCCCGCCAACGAAGAACGGCTACGACTACTCGGAACCGAAAACCCCATTCGTGAGTAAAGCTCTCGCGCTCTTTCTTTCCCTCAGAGACTGAATGATTCCCTGTGTCTGAGTTATCTGTCCATGTGGCTTGGCCAAACCGCCTTAAATTGAATACCCGTCAACGGACTAATTACGGCCATCATTTTGGTAGCATTCCGGGCCAGCAGACCAGACTTGGGTCGGCAGCCGAGATTTGTCGCCGCATTCATCACTCCGAATGCTGTGGCTCAACTCAAACTCAAACTCAATAAATGCTGCCTCGTCATGTTGCTGAATGTCGGCCCAAAATGATGGCAACATTTTGAATCGGTGAAGGGCTCTGGCTTTAGCTTTGGCAGTTGAAAATGACTGGAAGTTAACCTTTAGACATCTCCCAACGGAATGGCAGATCGTTGCGAAAATAACACAATGCAGGTGAACTTCCATTATGCGAAGTTCAACAAATCGGGTTTCTTCTTTTTAAACTCAAAACTAAATTGACTTGTAATGCCGTGTTGCGAAATAGTTTCATAACTTTTGAGTATTTCGTTTACGCTTCAGATTAACGAAGAATATTTCATATATTTTTGGCAAGGTTGGGCTTTGGTATATGTTAACTTGCTAATGTCTTCATAAATTCACAGAAGCCCGGCCCACCGGGAAGACCTGCAGCGCCCGGACCTCGTCCACCAGCACCGCCTGGCACTCCCCGTCAGATCCCCGGCCAGCCAGCCGATGTAAGTACAACCCCATTTATATATAGTTTGAAAATATATATAAAATTGAATTTTCAGCTTAAAGTTCATAATTGCAAATGTTAATCAAACTTATCTCCAGATAATATATTTCCTAAAAATCATCATTATTCCCTAAATACTTACACGTTTTCTTAATTAATTTAGGACCACGTCCACATGCCTGGCATGCCCTTTGACTTCGAGTACGCCGTCCAGGATCCGGAGACCGCCAACGACTATGCGCACAAGGCCTCCAGCGACGGCGATGTGGTGACCGGCGAGTATCGCGTCCAAATGCCGGACGGACGCACGCAGATCGTGCGCTACACCGCAGACTGGAAGACGGGTTATCACGCTGACGTGACATACGAGGGTGAGGCGCAGTTCCCGCAGGGTCCACAGCCAGGAGCGCGTGGCGGCGGCGGTGGCGGTGCTGGCGGAGCTGGTGGCTACAAGTACTAGGTACTACCTGTGGGTGGAGCTTCGACTGGGTCAGCGCTGGGGACACATATCTTGCGAAACGTGTAAACCTTACGATATACCAATAAAAAGTATTGATAAACATTTTGAATTTGAAACTAATGGTATAAAGAATATAGGGTTTCTACTCGGTACGTGAAAATTAAGCTGACCGAGAATGTCAGCACTTTCCACCTCCCCACGGATTAGGTTAGAGATGAATGTAGTATCTAGCATTGTTCTACAATTGGAAAAAGAGGGTAGAGAGTCTAGAAGTATACGACGGTAACCTCTGGTTTGCATCCCAGTTTAAACCACGTAACCCGAAAAGTAAGAAGTTCATTTGAACCGATTCTATACGTTTACTGTGGACGCCATGTTGAGGACTCCCAACGCAAGATCCATATTCTAAGATAGGACGAACAAGTGAAGTATATATTTATATTTTGTAAGATAGGAGTCATTAAATTCCTTCCACCACCCCTCTTAAACCAATTTTACGCCATATATTGTAGGTATAAATCAATTATTGAGAATAAGTCATATTGGTTTGAGTTAGATAGACGAAGTAGTTGGCTCTTTATGGTACAAAATAATACAAAGGCTCGAGTGCGATGCGGAAGTTCCAAATTAGAGATAGTATATTACCTGAACAGGGTATTTTTACAATAAGACCAGGTTCAGAATTCAGTTAAAAGATCAAGGGACAATATCCTTGTCATAGAGTTGTAAAAGCATCGATAGTACTATCGATATTATCGATAGTGGCTGGGCTGCGCGATACCTCGATTTTTGTTTTCCACCATCGATGTATCGCGATATGTATGTAGTATGCCTTGTGTGTTTTGTTTAATAGATGACAACAACAACGACGTCAGTACAACGACTAAGCCAAAGAAACCATTGGTGTCCGAGGTGTGGACGTTCTTCACACGTGGTACAGATGGGACTGCTAGGTGCAATATATGTTCAAAGTCGTATCGTACCAGCGGAAATACGTCTAATTTGAAAGACCATCTCACGAGGAAGCACCCGGAGCACAAATCATCAGAAATTCCTGTACCTAAAATAACTGCGTACTTTGAGAGCGCCAAGACGTATGAGGACGCATCAAAACGTAAACATAGCATCGATATGGCAGTGGCAAAAATGATCGCCACGGACGTTCAGCCTATTTCAATTGTTGAAAACGAGGGTTTTATCAACCTCCTCAAAATTGTTGCTCCCAAATACAAAGTACCAAGTCGGTACCAGATTAACATGTAACATGTAACAGTAACATGTTAATGAAATGTGTTTGGTATTTCATTAATAGTTTTAATGTTCTCGATTTTAGCATCAGAAGGCAAACGATAATGGCTTATAACGACTTTTTAAAGCATACGAGAATTTTTAAGTTTTCTAACTTATGAATAAAAAAAGGGTATAATTTATTATTATAGTCAAAATCTTTTAAATTTTTAACCTATTTGTTTTTATGTGTCTTTAATAGCTTAATACATTGTATGGTTTTTGTCGCAGCTGTATTCATACCTCGCAATTAAAAATATTTAAAGCAAATATGCTTAAAATACAAAATAAAAAATTAAATAATAATTCGATTAATACTATCGAAAATATCGATGGTTTGGACTATCACTATTGAAAACATCGAGTAGGGGCACTATCGATGTTTTTCCAGCTCTAGCCTTGTCATATACATATGTATAAGTGAAATTAATGATGGCAGGATGCTCTTGGCAAGGTGTAACTTGCGTCGATCCGAGAAAATGTACTTACCTGAAAAGAAAAAAGAATGTTAAATTATTAATATGAATAAGAAAAGTAGTTCAAACTTACCCATTTCGTTATCACTGTATTCTCATATGACCGTAGCCGAGCTACGGCTTGTTTAGAAAATTCTTTCTTCAGATTGTGTCACGTGTCAGTGTTGTAAAACGCCATCAATGAGCAATAAGAGGAAGCTAAGTTTATTACGGATTTATTTGCTCCTTTATACTATCTTCCCACTAAGTGCATTTGCAAAAAAAAACTTTAACAATAAAATAGGTTTAACTCAATTTTTTTTTATTTGTTTCATGTTGGAAAAATGGTACTTTTGCGATCCGTACGACCGTGGCGACCGGTACTTAATTCAATTAAAAACAAGAAAGGAAGCTAACTTCGGCACGCCGTATACCCTTTCAGATATTATTTCACTACATTTTACCTATACTTATTATGTTTACAGTTTGACAGTTACAGTTTTGCATTCCCAGCTTTACATTTTCTCTACATCTACCGATCGTTTCTATGGCAGCTATATGATATAGTGATTTTTATGAAATTTATACCAAAATTCTAAAATAACAAAATATGCTTATATCTCAGAGTAGATGAAAATACGTTGAAAAACAACGAAGTTATAATTTTTTTCCTATTAATTTCCCGATCGTTCCTATGGCAGCTATAAGATATAGTCGTCCGATTTTCATACAATTTGTACCAAAATTCAAGAATAATATGGCCATATCTAAAAAATGGTGCAAAAATGTTGAAAAACAGCAAAGTTATATTTTTTTTCTACAAATATATCGAACATTTGTATGGCAGCTATATGATATAGTCGTCCGATCCGGCCCGTTCCGACATATATAGCAGTGAGAGTATATAGAAGACTATATGCAAAGTTTCATTCAGATAGCTTTAAAACTGAGGGACTAGTTTGCGTAGAAACGGACAGACGGACGGACAGACGGACATGGCTAGATCGACTCGGCTGTTGATGCTGATCAAGAATATATATACTTTATAGGGTCGGAAACGTCTCCTTCACTGCGTTGCAAACTTCTGACTGAAATTATAATACCCTGCAAGGGTATAAATATAGATATATCAAATATTTTTGATATTTTTGTTTTATTATAATTTTTTTTAATTTCAAGCTGCATAAGCAATAACTACTAAACATTAACCCACATATGATCTTAAATTATATTTTAATAAATAAAAGAAAACCATATTTATTTTTACTTTCTTTTGCTTTTATTTATATTAAAATCGAATCAGAACAAAAATTTATCTTATGTAAAAGATAACAAAAACATGCTTAAATAATTATAAAGCAAACATTTTCTTTATACCCTTGCAGGGTATTATAATTTCAGTCAGAAATTTGCAACGCAGTGAAGGAGACATTTCCGACCCTATAAAGTATATATATTCTTGATCAGCATCAACAGCCGAGTCGATCTAGCCATGTCCGTCTGTCCGTCCGTCCGTCTTTCCGTTTCTAAGCAAACTAGTCCCTCAGTTTTAAAGCTATGTAGCTGCCATACAAATGTTCGATACATTTTTAGAAAAAAAATTAAAACATGGCTGTTTTTCAACATTTTTGCATCATTTTTGGCATATGGCCATGTTATAATATGAATATGAAAATCGGACAACTAATATATCTGCCATAGAAACGATCGGTAGACGTAGAGAAAATGTTAAGCTGGGAATGCAAAACTGTAACTGTCAAACTGTAAACATAATAAGTATAGGTAAAATGTAATGAACTAATATCTGCAAGGTTATACAAGCTTCGGCGTGCCGAAGTTAGCTTATATGAAAGATAAAAAGTGTGACCGCTTAAAATATCAAAAAAATCGATGATAAATAATAATTATAAAAAAAAATACCACGATAAAAAAATTTTTTTTTTCGCAAAAAATATCGATATATTGATATTTTGATATATTTTCGACATCCCTAGTCACAAACTCTTGAGGGTCGTGTGCCTCATCTGCTTATTGAAAAAATTGGACACCGACATTGTTTAATAATAATAATAAATAATTCTAAAATAAAATTTATCGATTTTTTTTATCGATTACCCTAGGGCAAGGATTTTACAGTGACACATGTAACTAAATTAATATTTTTTAAGACACGCGTAGATTCACAGAAGAGATTGCCCTGGGGAATGGTCAGTTCATAGGGTCCTTGTATCCTTGAAGACGTACTTGCCACCTGGGAGAAGAAGGAGAAAGAGGAAGATAAATAAAAATGATGAAGAAAATCAGGTAAATAACTAATCAGTAAACAAAAAATCTTAAAAACCACGTATGTATCTCTAACATAAATTTACGATTTTTATCTCAAAAATCCATAGAGGAAAACGTGGTAAATTATAACAAATTAATATCATTAATGGCGCTAGTTTTATAGGAGCCATATTTTTTTCAGTTAATACTACTCTTCAAAAGACAGTTGTTAAAATTTCATGATATTATATTCATTAGTTTGTGAAATTTGTCTCCACCCACATTAAAATTCAAATCATTTGGGTGCGCCCGTCTACGATCTTACTTGTTCAAGCTGGCAACGGTCACACCAAAAATGGTAAAATCGTGTACAAAATGACGGTCACACTGAAGCCTCGCCAGGCCCTATATAAAGAGAGCCGGGCCGTAGATTTTCGCCTGGTCCGTGACCAGAGCACTGCAAATTGGCATTGCAAGCAAATAATCGACTTGCCAATGATAGCCGATTTTCCCACATATTGTTGACCGTAGTACCTTTGGCATTCTGCCGCGTCTATAATGTTCAGCAGATCCTATGGGATCCGTTGGGAGCTTAGGAGCTCACATCTGGGCATCTGAAAATAAAAATCTTTTAGTTTTTCTATGTGAAATAATTGCATAAACTTACCAATCTGACTGACAGAAACCGAGGTACACGCCCGTCTGCAGCTGTGCCCGTGAAGGTCAAGGCCTTGAATTCTTTGCCCACTACATTAAAATGCAGCTCATCGAAGATATGAAAATATGGCTTCGTGCCAAAATAAGTCAGGTTGCTGTATATAGCCAAAAACCCGGCATCAAGCTCTGCTTTTTTTTTTTTTTGCCTATTCAGTTTCTTAATGACAGTGGTTTTTGAAAACGAAGGTTTTCATTAGGAGTTCGTCCGTTAGAGTTATATTTTCCTGTTGGAAATAAAATAATAAAAATAATTACCAAAAAATTTGCAAGTTTAGG